ATTATGGCTTTGATGCTGATCAATCGTTTTTAATAATATAAACCAATTAATATAATCATTATTGTAAAGTTTAATCTTTTGGTAACAGATAAAAGAATATGGCAACGTTAACACTAGAAAACTGCTCAAAACATAGATAATGAGGTAAACTAATGAATCGTGAATCTTAATCTCGCGCGCACAACAAATTAAAACGGCGAACGCCTAATTATCCTCCTCCACCTCCGCCGCCGCATCCTCCACCTCCACCGCCGCATCCTCCACCTCGCCATCTCCACCTCCGACAGCTTCTGCAGCTTCTGCAGTAGTGGCAGAAATACAGGACTGGAAGAACTCGGTACAGCAGGCACTAAACAATTTTTGCTATGTTTTCTCCCTCTTATCACTATTTAGCAGGGCAGGATCGGCTGTTGCCTTTTCTTTGCTTTAACACGCTAAAGCAGCCCATGAATTATAACTGAGCTTTTTAGAATCTCCCCATGAGCAGGAGCTTCTTAAATATATTATCAGGTCAATGGTGTTCCAATTTTCGTTTATATTAATTTTCTCCTTTTGAATTGTCTCTTTTATTTCAAAATTTTGAACGAAACGATATTTCTTTTAATAATTAATGGACATTTATACAAGTCGTAGAAAACCATTCAAAATGGATGAAATGTCATTTTCTTGTAAACACAAAATCGTTCGTTCTTTCTTAAATTAAACGCCGTATTTTAATTACGTACTTTTGTGGTGATAAATAAAAAGATCTCTCCAATTTCTGATCAATTTCGGAGGCAAGCAGGGTTCAGATGGAACCGCGAATTGAGCTCTTAATTTTACTTTGTGCACTCACCACAGGAATAGAGATGTCAAAATAACCCGTAGTTAAAGCCCCACCTTAATGAGTTGGATTTAGATAGTAAAATTTTGGGTGGTTGATTTGGATAGTATCATGAACAAATAATTATATATAATATTTAACATTAAATTATAAGTATTATCTATAAAAGGTATACTGTTTACTTTTTTTTTTTTTTTTAAACAAAAGAAAACCCTAACCACCAAAAACTTATTACTTCAAATATATTTACTGTAATTTCTTCATTTACCAATCTGAAATAAATTATGTAATTAAATTGTTTAATTTATAATTACTAACATCATATATTTTATTTAACTTTATAATTGTATGCACATTAACTTTATATTATATATATTTTTTTATTTTATACTGTTAAATTAAGTAGTTAGATTAGATATGAATTATGATTTTACGTTATTTGAAATTAGATTTTTATAAAATTATATAAACTTTGTATAATTTTGGTGGAGAATTATTAAACTTTGAATATAATTTTATATTAGATAATTCAAGTTGTTATGTATAATTTTGTAATTTATTCAAAAAATAGTTTGTATATACATTGTGTTAGATTTATTTATATATATATATACAAAAGTGGATTAAATGAGACGATCCAAGGCTTTCTCGAAAAAAATAACCCAAACCCGTCCCACTTTTGAGAATAGATAATAGGACGGATTTGGGTATTCATAAAAGAGGTGGGCAGGACATAAATTTCTCAGTACTCAACCCAGCCGCCCCATCGACATCCCAAGCACAGAACAATAGACCATTAAACAAATTTAAAAAGCAGCAAATCTGTGGACGGTAAACTTGAAGTTTAATGAAGGAAATGATGAAATATTTAGTATAGACCAAAGAAGCCAGAATGGCAAACTGAAGGAGACAATATGTTTTCCGCATTTAAAAAGGGCAAAATCAGAGCGCCAGTAACAGTGTTGTCTCCCCATTTGTTTGGAAGGTGTTGGAACATTAAAGGTGTGTTCATAAATTCGTTACATTCATCGAATCCAATCTCAATCACTACGAAAGATTGAAGTCACCAGCTATATTACTTGTCTTCTGCATACATATAATTTATTTACAAACTGTTCTTTCACCTTATCAAAATTAAGTTTTATTTTATCAGGATTTTAGATTTTGTATTGGGGAATATGTAGTTTTTGTGTTATCAGTGGATGGCGTACGTCAAGTTATATGAGTAGTTGAAAGGTTGAGACACACTAAATTTCCAAGGAAAGTTGGTTTCTTTTCTTCGAGGCCTGCTTTTGGTACAACCACCATCAATGGAAACTGAGCTGAAATTAGATTCAAAGTCTTTCTCGCAGAGATTTTTTTTTTTTTTTTTTTTTATTTGGACAAGAAGAGTATTGTTAAACGGTGAGGAGAATGAAGAGGAAGAAGGCTTCCTGTGAAACAACAGTGTTGAGGGAATCAGCTAATAGAAATATTGATCAGTTTATTACATAATGAATGTACAATATCATTCCAAGAATATATATAAATACCACCAAAAATATGTTAAAAGAAGTTAAAAGTGAGCAGAATTGTAACATACAGGGTGGCTTCAAGATAAATATCATATAATTTATAGACTCTAGATTTAACAAGAATCAGACTGATAAAATCCACTGTACAAGAATCAATTCTTGAAATAAAATTCTTTAGTAGTCGCAAACAAAATTCAACCAAAACCTTTCACTTTTTCCTATACTTCAATACTGCAAGCATTAAAACCGATCCCCTAACCAGAAGGAGAAAAAGAATTATATATAAGTTTACAGGGAAAAACAAAAAAAAAAAAATACAGGCATACTCTGTATGTATGAGGAAAAAAAAAAAAACTGAGTTGTCTTGAAGCTTGATGATCACACGCCGGCATAACCACCGTCACAACTGCAACTACCACCGCCAGTACCAGCTATATCGCCATGTTGGCGAGGTTGTGTGCTGAGACAACAGCACAAGAGACCTACCAATAACATGAAGCCCCACGCAGAGGCCAAAGCCTGTGCCCAGTTCAGGTAATGCTCCATAATGATACTTCTTTTTGCACCTTTTGATTCTTTTTCTCATCGTCTCAGCACTGAACTGCCAAACTTTATTGTCATATGACACGGCTGGCAAGCGGCTGGGTGAATGGTATTGGTAAACTCTCTCAAGAGAAAAAGAGAAATGGTGGCAGCTAAAGAGAGGGGGAGAGAATATTAGTGGTGCACATGGACAGAGCTTGAAAAGAGGCCGAAATAACATGGGACCAGCCTGAGAATTTTACAGCTACGGTAGTTGAAACCTCAATTCTATTTCTCTAAAAGGCACATAGAGTTTAATTTTTCATCTCGATGTATATTGATTTGATGGGACAAGTAGTTAAATAGGAACGTGTTTAGATGCATTAATTTAATATATGATCTTGTGTTAAGTCATAAATGAGTTGTATCTTCAAGGAAACCTCAATACTTTAGATAAGCAAATCTTTATTTAGATGCTCAACACGACGACCGACACAAACACTTGCTTTCATAATCGTATCTTGTAAAGGGGTTTAATAATTCATTGTCTACAGCTATTAAAAATATATGGGCATAACTAAAAGGCCCCTTTTGAAATTATTCTCTGTTGCACCCTTTGGAACCCCACCACCACCATCTTATATATATGAATTAAACAGAGTTAAACCACTTAAAATACCAGCATTTATAATTGATTATTTTAGGTTATGTGAACATATCAATATGTAGACTGTAGTTATGAATCTTAAAAGAATGATGGACGGTTGGGAAAGAATTAAAAGATGCAAAGAAGTTGCTTCACGGCAACCTCTTAACCTTTTGAAAGGGTTAGACCATTACAGAACACACTGGACCATATTCTAAATCATTCCATTCACACAGCGTGAGAACCTCAAATCATGCTATTCAATTAACTGGCACTTAAGCAAAGTTCTGAATAAAGAAACCATTTCAATTAAATACTTAATGCCTTTGGACATCGTAGTAACGACAATGGTTTCTCAAACGTACAAGTGATCCCTCCTGAGCTGTAGATTCAATCTTTGCGCAGTGTGGATGCCTTGGAACCTAATTTGGTGTAATCATTTTTCTGCACGTAAATAGAATGTCTTAAGATTGTTACCCTTTTTTAAATCATGCTGTTTCTTTCCGACTTGTAATCTCATGCAATGTTTCGAAACCCAACCTGGGGTAAAACCCGGCAAAGTGGTCGGGTCCTGGTTTGACCGGCAAGTCAAATCATGTCCAAAGGTTTGAAATCTAATAAAAATATCCCTAAAAATTACAGCAAGTTCCTATAGGTTTAAAATCTTGCGAAAACACCCCAAACACCACCATCAGTGTCATCAAATAGGACATGTTTCCAACGATGACAACACTCCCCATCACCACGAAAACACTCCTCTCAGCCTCCTGACCAAAACTAATCTCACCCCTCTCCTGTTCGCCTCCCCAATCGCTGACAACAACGAGCTTTTTTCGATGACATTGTTTTGAAATTTCCGATCGATTCACTCATCAAAAATTGACGCTATTGCCACATTGCACTCATAGACCATTCCTCTTCAAAAACCCTAACATTTCAGCCTTCAATTGTTCACGGATTGATATCCTAATTTTTAAGATTTTCAATAAATAGAAAAATTTGTAACCTGATCCGATGAAAGCTCCAAGTCTCGATTCAACCGTCTGGGCCAGGCCGATTTTTGAAACAATGATCTCATTTTTAGGTTGTCCAAGATCTTCTAGGTGATATAGTCCACTAGTCGTACAAGAGATGCCACCTCGGCATGTGGTGCAAAAGATAAATAAATAAAGGAAAATGATAGAGTTATCAAAAAGTGTACACCAAAATTATGCACCGAATGACGTAATAAAATCCTGACCGTTGATTAATTATTAATTTATAATAAATCAACGGTTATGATTTTGTCACGTCATTGGTGCATAAATTCGATGCACACCCATCGATAACTGTAGCATTACTCATAAATAAAAAGTGCAAAAGATTATCAGGACAATGCTACAGTCTATAATATATGACTAGTCTCCCACATAAAAAATTTATCTTTGGAGGCGCTCAATTGAAGGAGCACTCAATACGTAGTATGCAAGCCACTCGTATGATTTATAAGTTTAAATGAAAGAGAATGAAAGGTTACACTATATACTAATAAAAGTCATGAATGGTTCAGTAAATATCTCTGCATTAAAGATTTAGACTACTAGCAGGTGTAATAACAAGAACTTGCCCGAAAATACTACACTTTTTTTTTTTCTTTTTTCCTTTTTTTGGTGCAGTAAAAAACATCCCCTAAAACTTCTTCCAACAAGGGAAACAATGAAAACAGTTTGCTTTACAAAAACAAAAGGCCCTGACAATTTACACCCCTCTGGTGGATCTGCAAATACTGGGCAGCTTTACCTGAGAAATCTAGTCCTCCTATAGGAAATTATTTTATAGCAACAGCAGCAGCAATTAAAGCCCAATCCAGAACAAGAAGCTGTATAAGCTTCACAATGAAAAACTCAATCCCTGCATAAAAGAGAATGCTGTTAATACAATCTCAAATAATTGCAAAAAAATAACAATGAAAAATTAATAAATGTAAAGATCTTAGGCTCTAGCTCAATCCTCGTATAAGACTGGCCTTAAAGGGAAAATTATTGAATGCACCGGCCAATGCCATTTATTGGTATAACCAATGTAGTTCATAATCTAAAATATAAGACGATTGTTACAAATGGACTGTTTTACCCTTTATATTCAAAACATGGATTCCCAAAACACATCTAGGACTAGTAGGAGCAATAAAAAGCTAAAAACAACTTCTTGTTAAGCCAAAGATCAACATGTTATAAAGAATGCAGCACATAAAATGGAGAAAAAAAAGAGAGAAATTAACACAACACAGCAATACTTAGTAAGTAGTGTCCACTGTTCAAAGAACAAGTGTGTCAAGATGAATGTTTAAATTTATAGCCAATGATATAAATTCACATTGACACCGTGCCAGGTACAGAGGTATTTGGTCTGATGAGTTCCCTTGTTTTCATAAGTTTCATTATTAAACCATGTTTATCCTACGAAACGGAGATTATAAACTCAATCAAATCAGAAATAAAACCATGTAAAAAGAAAGATTATTTTCAATTCATCTTAACTGCATGCAAACAACATTCATCAATTTAATTTAGAGACAAGAAATTTAGAATTCAAATATAAACCTTTATGCCAAGTACAAATTATAAACTACCATTGAAAGTCCATAAAAAATCTCAATTGACTTAAAATTACAAAAAGGGCCCAAAATATTAACAAAATTGATTTCGTAAACTCTTAATATTTCCTTTATATTAACAAAATTTCATTAGATTATGATAAACTATTACAAAAATAAAATTGAATTCAGTAACAAATAGCTGAAAACTAGAAAAGCATAAGAAGAATAAGAGGATGCTAAGCTACCATGCACTGGAAAAGAAACTTGTAACGACAGCAACTGCTGATAATATGATACTAACGAATGTAGGTAGACATGCTGAATAATAAGACCATAATTTAAATATATAAAAAATAATAATAACTTTTCAAAATACTCACTTCCTATAGAGCTGACATCAGCTACAGCTCGCTATAATTGCGCCAAACCGCACGGAATTCCTCTCGGAATGTATTTAAACGTGCTTTCAAGTTAGGTGTTCTGAAACTTGCATGGAGGATTGTGGCTGTGAAAGAGAAAGTGAGATAGATAAACAATATAAAAGAGCTAAAGGCAAAAAAAAAAAAAAATTGCAAAAGGTTCGGGGTCAACATACCAAGAAGTCCAATAGCAAGTGCCCATAGGACAGTCAATAGACCACAGGAAACATACCAAAGGATGAAACTCACTAGAAGGGAAAGACATACAATCAGTTGATATTTAATACTATTTCCAGTCAAGAACTGGATAGGTTTTTATCAGTTTACTTGAAAAGAAAAAAATTGATAGCTTAAATACCAGAAGAAAATAGCAAGACAAACACCCAACGGGGCCGACCACATATGTGGATTGTTCTTTTAGCTGATGGACGTCCACGAATTACAGGTCTGGAAACAATAAAAGCATGAATTAAAGTAGCAATTTCAGATGCTCTGCAAACAAAATAACCAGAAAATGAACTTACGTAAGAGGAGGCCTCATCTTTGCAGCTAGATGTGGAGAGAATTGTCTCACAGTTCTTGATACCTTCTCACTAAAAGTACCTGCAAAGCTGTACAGAGAATTCTTAACAACTAGGTGTGAAAGAAAACACTATAATCATAACTACAGGAACATTATTCCTTTTCTCAAATAGGAAATATTTAAGCTTAAGATCTATCCCAATAAAAACACTTTACCATCTCAGTAAAGGCCCTCATGTATGAGACACTATTTGTTGTTTTCACACAGTAGGCATGGGATTGGAAATTTAGGGTCAAGAATATGTTTGTTGCATTTGGATTTGCAATTCTTCCACATCAAGAATCTTATTATCCCAACAGACTTAGCTCACTCAGATCCAAAAGGATAAGGTAAATTACAATATTTTACCAAATGAGTAAGTTCAGGGAGGCATTAAACAACATAAGTTTGTTTCTCGAAGGAAACAAAATTTAAGTATAGAACCCACCATACATACTCTCACGTACAAAATTTTAACCAAGTTAATTCTGTGCCTCCAGACTCAAACCATTATTAAAATGCATCGCATGCACGCATGAAAATGCAAATGCTTACTGAGAGATAGCAGGTGTGAAACAGCTTACCTGTCATTCAGAAATGCAATGCTAAGCGCTGTCAAAAAAGCAGCAACAATGGCAAATGGCTTTCTAAGGAAACCCAATCCTGCAGTTGGAAAAACATAATTAAGAACAAAATAAACACATGCATAAAACAGAAAAGTGATGAACTAAAGCTAGTTTCTCCACTCACCCAGAATAAGAGTAATCATGATGAAGTAGTTTGTTCGGTAGCTGCAAAAACATGTAAAGCTCATATGTTAATATCAAAGCTAGTAAAATGTCAACCCAATGGTAAAAACCAAGAAAGTGTAACTTCCATTCTTGGATTTTCAACCATGCATCCATTTGTTAATAAGACAAAGTAAAACATACCACACACATCTAAAGCATCAGTTTAAGGATAACCATACCGAGAAACACAAACCTCAACTCAACTACGCTGAAAGCTAACAGATATCTACAGTTCGAAAATAAATTTTCAATTTACTCTCGGAAGGATCCTCAGCAGGTAAGCTGATTATAAAGATTTACATCAGAAATCATACCGGTTCAATTCAAAACAAATCATTGAAATTAAGCCCTAATCTTCAAATTACTTTGCAGCTAACTCTCTCACACAACCTAATTAAGTTATTTTCTCATGGCAACCTTTGAAACGACGATCAGAAACCAAAGTGATCGAATCAAAAACATTAAAAATAATGGAACTGAACATCAAAACAAGATTAACATAAAAGCAAAAACGATCGTACTAGTAGAGATTGCATTTGAGTCGGCTGTTCCATTTGGCATATGATCGGGGGAAGGTGAATCTGGAGAAGAATTCGGAGAGAGGACGGGGTGGATTTGACCAGTCAACTTCACGAAGCGCGTCGATCAGATCTTCTGCAGTTACATTCCCCCAATCCATTTGATTATCAACTTCAGCTGTACTGAACCCTAGAAAACGATTAGTCTTGTACGGAATAAAAGAAAATGAAGCGCGCAGGAAACCCTAGAGTAAAGGAAAGAAGGAGCAAATAGTCGATTTCGAAGTTGTGGATTTTGTGAGATGGAGATACTGTTATTGATGTTGTTTTTGTTTTGTGTAGTGGAAGCGTTTTAACGGAGAGACGGTTAGTTGTGAATTGTAATTTTCAGAGATAAACTGATTTTAATTAAAAATGAAGAAAGCTTTTTATTAAAATTCCAAAAATTTGGATTCATACTGTCTGAGCCCGGGTTCGAACCGGGGACCTCTAGTGTGTGAGACTAGCGTGATAACCAACTACACCACCCAGACAATGCTGCTTTCGAAGCTATCTTTTTTATATTTAATTTAAGACCAGCTCGGTCTATCATTATAAATATCCCAAGATTATTTGTTTTATCCTATGTGATATTAATTTATAAAAAATAATACTACACATACAATATTATGTGGCAAAAGATAATTAGGTCAAAGTTTAATTTTAATTTAAAATCAACCAATCATATTTTGTCACATAATATTATATGAGAAATGTCGTATAAAATATTGTATATGTAATATTACTCATTTATAAATGAAGAGTTGACATAGTAAGTAATATATAAATAATGTTGGAGTAGGTGTTATAGAGCCCATCAATTATTATGGAATTAACTATTCGTAATAATGTTTATTAATCAATAAAAGACATTATCTACTATATCATGTAAAACCATAGTTGTATGTATTGATATATGTCCATAGAATGGTTGAACCGTGACGAGGGTATCAAGTATTTCAAATCTTGATAGTGAGAACCCTATGAGCACATATGGTGGTTATTCTAGAAACATCCGTAGCCCCAGTATTATTCTGACTAAAGGCACAGATAATACGGTAAGGCTATCATAGTATTGAACAATCCTGTCTAAAGACAGTGATAGATCTCACTTGTTAAGGTTGTTGGGTGACAACTTGGTGTAACACATGGTTGCTTGCTGTAGGCAAGTTCACTAGATTGACCCACTAGAGGATTCCATATAGATGGTAACCATAGTGTCTATATCACAAATTCTCTAACGAATGGTGGTGCATGTGATCCTTAGATTGAGATCACCACAGNTCCAAAAATTTAAATTAATATTGTCTGAGCCGGGTTCGAACCAGGGACCTCTAGTGTGTGAGACTAGCGTGATAACCAACTACACCACCCAGACACTGCTGCCATTAAAGCTATCTTTTTTATATTTAATTTAAGATCAGCTCGGTCTATCATTATAAATATCCCAAAATTATTTGTTTTATCCTATGTGATATTTATAAAAAATAATACTACACATACAATATTATGTGGCAAAAGATAATTAGATAAAAGTTTAATTTTAATTTAAAATCAATCAATCATATTTTGCTATATAATATTGTATGAAAAATGTTGTATCAAATATTATATATGTAATATTACTCATTTATAAATGAAGAGTTGACATAGTAAGTAATATATCAATGACATATTATTTCGGATAAAATTTTTAGATTTTCATTTAGGACGTGTTAAGAGTAAATAAATAAAGAGTTGATATAGTAAGTAATATATAAATGATGTTAGAGTATGTGTCCTAGAGCTAATCAATTATTGTGGAATTAACTATTCGTAATAATGTTTGTTAATCAATAAAAGACATTATCTACTATATCATGTAAAATCATAGTTGTATGTATTGATATATGTCCATAGAATGGTTGAACCGTGACGAGGGTATCAAGTGTTTCAAATATTGATAGTGAGAATCTTATGAGCACATATGATGGTCATTCTAGAAACATCCGTAACCTCAGTATTATTCTGACCAAAGGCATAGATAATACGGTAAGACTATCATAGTATTGAACGATCTTGTCGAAAGACAGTGATAGATCTCACTTGTTAAGGTTGTTGGGTGACAACCTGGTGCAACATATGGTTGCTTGCTGTAGGCAAGTTCACTAAACTAACCCACCAGAGGATTCCATATAGATGGTAACCCTAGTGTCTATAGAACAAATTCTCTAACGAATGGTGGTGCATATGATCCTTAGATTGAGATCACCAGAGCGTCTTGTGCACCGATTGGTATAGTTTGACACTAGCCTAACGCAGTTCTATTCAGAGCTATCAATACGGTAGTGATTGACTACATCGAGAAGTGTAGCAAGACTATGGTAGATTGACAGATGATTCATCACTCATGGGTATGGGAGAAGTTAGCTCACGACGCAATTCAGTTAATGACAATGACAATAAATCTGTGATCACAGTGAGATTGAGTTGTTGTTCAATCTAATTCATTATTCTGGTCATTGGTCCAATAACTGAATACAAATATATATATATATATATATAATATATATATATATAGATTATATATATATATAATATATATATATATATATATATATATATATATTATATATATATATATATAATATATATATATATATATATATATATATATAGTAAACTAAGGTTGACACTATTTCTATACCCTAATCTCGTTAAGATAACAGATGATGAAAAGATTTGATTGCACGGTAACCATATCATTGACAGGTAACTATTTTGCTGAATCCGAATCTATCAGGTGGCCATGATACCTTGTTAGGGGTCAATCTTGGTCTGTGTGCAGTGAGATGATTAATTGATTTTAATCGCGATACTACTCACTGCTAGTATGATGAGAAGCCTACTAGTCACACATGTAGAAAATAATTTAAGAATCAGTTTGTGCAAGGAGCGTTTTCGTCTTTTAGGGCAAAATGGTATTTTGGTAATCTCACAGTACAATTAAATTTGTTTAGGTTATTGCCTATATTTAATTTGATATTAAAATTAAAAAAGTGAGATTATATTTAAATATATGTACACATATATATGTTAATGTATTTCTATAAATACATTAACTTAGTTTAACTGAAAATAATAATAATTATAATAAAAATATCATGATTGGGAGTGTTTGGACACAGGAGCTGTTTGGGTTGAAACCCAAGCATATTCCTTATTGGAATAGGGTTTTATGTGCACTATATAAGTGCAATGTTATGTGAATTAAAGTAAGGGAATTCATTCAATCATTTTCTTTGAAAGAAAAGAAAACCCACACAGCCCTCTCCCAAGTCTCACGCCACCCTTACTTTATTGAATCAAAGTTTCTTTGATTCTTGATTTGATTCTTGAAGCTAAAGAGGATCTAGCAAATCCCTCTTTAACTTTTCGGGTTATCTTCGTGTGGATTACCGCTGGTTTGATTCTATTTTGAATCGGTAACGAACACAGGCAGAGACAAGTTTGAAAGAGCCTCCAAACGTGCGTATGAACTCTAAACTTTACTTTGATTATTCATATTACTGCAGATTTTGATTTAACATATAAACTGTATAATTTATGCCATGATCTTGGTTTAATGGGAAACGATCTGTGCTCTAAAATTTTTGTTTTCTGCTGCCATGGGTTAGATCGTTTCCTAACAAATGACACATTATTTCGGATAAAAATTTTCGATGTTCATTTAGGACCGTGTAAGATTACGATTAACTTAATATAAGAGATAAAACCATGTTTTTATTTTTATTTTTAAAATAAGGGTTAACTTCATTTCTCTCTTAATAGATTGTTAAGTTGCAAAAGCTAATCGGTTTTTCAGAAAAAAAATAACAAACCTTAAATTACCAAAAGACTCTTGAAAGTATCATATCTTTAAATAACATGTAAATAAGAGTTTTTAGTCTTTTTGAAAATTGATGGGGTCAGACCTATCATTCTCATACGGTGCAAATAAAATAAACATACAATAAAGCTACGTGCATTCCAAACAACGAGGTAAATTATTTCATAAATTACTTGATTTTTGGATAATTCTATGTGTACAATATTTTTATATAATATTTCTTATAAAACATTATGTAACAAAAAATATTGGATAAAAGTTTAATATTGTATTTATAGTATTATTCTTAACTTTTATCATTATCATATAAGTAAGATGGTGTTATCAAATCAATTGTAACATATATTTGAATTTCAACTTTATGTGCATAACATTATTCTTAGATTAAATTAGGTTATACTAAAAGTATTAAATAAGGTAAAATAATTCTTAAATTTGACTCAGATTTTAAGAAATAGAGTTTATAATCATACTCTTATTGATGTTAGTATAATTGTATTTATTATAAAAAAAATAAAATTAACTAGAATATTTCATCTGTTAATTACGCTTTTTTCTTATTCTAATAATTTATTAGATTTTTTTTTTTAATTTAAGATTTACCCTAACTCAAAAGTAGTCAACGTACAATCATTGACTTCTTATTACAAGTTTAAGACAAAAAGAGGTCAAGAGTAACAATTTTCTTTTTCATAAGGCTTAAGAACAATTATATATATATATATAAAAGAATTCGAAATTATATTTAAAAAAAAAAAAAAACTAAAGCAAATCCAATGTCCAATATGCCCCAATTTTTTTATTATATAATTTTGTCCATTTTACATATTTTCATTCAAAAGGAGCTGAAGAAGACTATTGCCTAACATTAAATAAAAAGCATATTAAAAGTCAGAAAGTGCTTTTATTTTTCCACCAATCATTGACTGCCACGTCTTTAGATCATACAAAATTTAACTTAGACTCGATTTGCATCACCACTTATCCATAACACGACACATAACTGACCAATAACAGACCAACAAGCAACGGCTTGCTCAATCCAGAAGACAAGCCACCTCCGGTGCATCCTACAACCGTCTACATGCTAACATTATCTCCTTAATCTCTTCTTTAACTTCTAGCTCCACGCTTCCCTTCCCTCTAGACAGAAGCAATCAAATCAAAACTCTACTAATCTTTAATTATTTTCTCAATTAATCACACGATTACACTGTTTTGGTGTTTTTTAATCTTTAATTAATTGAAATCGGATCTTACATTAAACACATCTCCTCCCATATAATTTTATCAAAACCCAACCGAATAGGAAACAGCCAATTCGATCCTTCTGAATTTGGTTCGAATCTTCAGAGGATCCAACGAACTCTTCAATTCCATTATTAGGAGCAAATTCGGACCCGAAACTTAGGGTTTTCGAGTTTTTAAATGGCTCAAACGACGGGGAGGGGCCGGGTGGTTGGGGACTACTTGGTGGGCCGGCAAATCGGGTCGGGTTCGTTCTCGGTGGTGTGGCACGCCAGGCACCGAATCCATGGAACTGAAGTGGCGATAAAAGAGATCGTCACGGGTCGACTCAACAAGAAGTTACAAGACAGTCTCATGTCGGAGATTTTTATTTTGAAGAGGATTAATCATCCTCATATTATTCGATTACATGACATAATTGAGGTTAGTCTATTTATTATCTTATTCTAATTAGAGAGACATTATAAGCTCATGAAATTTTATGGTGTGTTAATATAGTTTTGTTAAATTTTGGCGTCTTATTATAGGTTCCTGGGAAGTTACATCTTGTATTGGAGTATTGTAAAGGTGGTGATCTTTCTATGTATATTCAACGTCATGGATGTGTTCCGGAAGAAACTGCGAAGCACTTCATGAAGCAGTTGGGTATGTGAAAAAGAATTTTCTTGTTCTTGTTCTTTGTTTTCTGTTGCATTTTGGTTGACTTGGTCATGTTGTGATACTTGGAAAATTTTGTACTTGACAGCTGCGGGCTTACAAGTTCTTCGAGACAATAATCTTATACATCGGGATTTAAAGCCCCAGGTTTGTTTGAAACATAATTTTTCGCGTTGGGTCTGTAATTATAAACACATTTAAGTTTGAAATTGAATTAACATGGTATCATTTAAGCGAGTAAATTATTCAATGAGATTGTAGAAGGCTAAGAAATTGCCTTGTAAGAAGTTACTTTACTGATGACATAAGGGAATGTTTTATACATATTGATTTTGGACATGAAAACAATTAAATCTTTTTTCTATGTAACAATTTACTTAATAGTATATATAATTTTTGTACAGAATCTCCTTCTCTCCACAGATGATAGCAATGCTGTTTTGAAGATTGCTGATTTTGGATTTGCAAGGTATATCATTAACATTGTTATCACCATCTATTACTGTTAATGTCTCTTCTCTTTCTCACACACACATCTTGCTTCACTTTTTTGCTTCCCATGGATCATTGTGGGTGAGCCCACATTTTAATCCTTATATATGTGGTTGTCTTATGTGGCTACACGCAAGTTGTTCATTTTATCTTTGCTAAAAAACTAAGACTTTGTAGTTCTGTTAGTTGTCTCTCTTTATTATTGTGTTTTTATCTGATTTCATATAGCTGGAGAATGAATTTTATGTAGTTTCTTAACACATACCACTTCTACGTGTCAGTTCAAATGTATGTATGACAAGAAACGTTGTGGTAGTCCAAATTTGATTTTTATATTATTCTTCGGGCAGATCTTTGCAACCTAGAGGCCTTGCAGAAACCTTGTGTGGTTCACCCCTTTACATGGCTCCAGAGATAATGCAACTTCAAAAATATGATGCTAAGGTGAGATTCACACTTTTAATATGGGAGGCCTTCATAAGCATTTTCTGTGATTGCCTAACCTTGAACTGAATACGCAGGCAGATCTCTGGAGTGTTGGTGCCATTTTTTTTCAGCTTGTGACTGGGAAAACCCCATTTACTGGAAGCAACCAGATGCAGGTTTAAATTAACTCAGTTCTCTTTTCTATGCATCTAAATTGGCATATGGATTGCGTGGAAATGGAACCTTATATTATGAATTTGTAGTAGTACTAGTTGGTAATTTTGCAGCTTTTTACAGCTTTCCTGACTTATATTTTCTGTCTCTTTTGTTGCACAGTTGCTCCAGAACATTGTCAAATCAACTGAATTGCATTTTCCTCTGGGTGCGAAAGGTTTAAGTGCTGACTGCAAAGATTTATGCAAGAAATTGTTGCGGCGTAATCCTGGTATGTATTTGCAATGTAGCTTGTAAGTGGAAACTTAAATAGTCTAAAGGCGTGCAGTGCCATGCTACAAGAACAGGAGATCTTTGAAAAAGGAAGGTCTGGACTAAAAAGCAAACTGTTTCTAGTTGGTGTTAAATGTTCACTATATATATTTTCTGGAATCAGAGTTGTTGGTTCCTTATTGATTATTATCTAAAATGTGATGCCTTATTTTCTGAATCTTCTGTTTTTCTGGTATTTATAGTTGAACGGCTGACATTTGAGGAGTTCTTCAATCACCCATTCCTTTCTCAGAGGCAACCGGATAGGCTTTTGAGGTAAACGAGACAGGCTTATCAGTCCTCATGATATTGATATAACAATATTTAAAATGATGATCTCGTCTTTGTATGCAGGAGTAGGTCATCTAGATCAACAGATGGTTTTCCATTCCTTGAAAGTAATTCTGTGAGGGACACGGAGGAAAGTTCTCAAGATGATTGTCTACCTTTCTTTCTAGATGATGATTCTAGCGGTCCTGAGGGGAGCCCTTCATTTTTGAGAAGGAGAACCTCAATGAAGTCTACTTATGGGTTTGCTGTAGATGCAAAAGTTGATGTAAGGCAAGCAACATCAAATCCTTTAAACAACAAGGATCTTACATCCAGAGATGGCAGTACTGTCAGATATAAGTTAGAAAGTACTGGTTTTAGGATTGATAGCAATAAGTTTTCAGATGAAAAACTAAGTGAACCTCCAAAATCCATGGACCACAGATCAGCAGAGACTCGGTCAAGAGGTATGAAGAATACCACTACATGCCACTTTTCTCTTAAGTAATGTACCATCAAGATCCAAAGAAATGGCTTAACAAACTATATTTGTTTTATTTAATATTTTCAGTTGCAGATTCACTGGAACTAATTGATCAAGATTATGTTCTTGTCTCTGGACCCCCTATAGAAGTGTCATCCTCTTCGGCGAGTATATCAAAGCCAAGCCACATCCCATACAAATCTAATAGTCCACCCAGAACATCTATTGCTAGCAACACTACATCGACTGCCCCTATGACAATTATTGGTTCCACAAACAGTAACATATGTTGCATTGGAAGCCTGGAAAGTCAGAGTTCTGCTCCTGGGACTTCACTTGGATCCATGGATATTGGAGATGCTTTTGAGCAGCCATCAACTCATGGCATGACAAGGATAAAGTCATTGCAGAAGTATGCATCTTCCATCACAGAATTAGTACGTTGCAAGGTAAGTTATGGCTTGCCTGTTCGTGCAACAAACCAGTTTGTTCAGGGTCTGTTAAATAAACAAATGTCTTGCTTAGTTGAAAGTGGATTATGTAATGGGGAATGAATCATAAATAATATCTTGCAGAAGGTGATCATATTTAGCCCATTGCAAAAATTACTCAAAGTTTGTGTTCCTAATCTATTTATTTGATATGGCACAATTGTCTAAATATTTTCTCAGGATCAGCTATTACTTGTTTCATTTGTACTTATGTTAGATTCTTTCACTACTGTATAGTGCCGTGGCCTTAGCATTATGTACTTGAAGGACATATTAAACTGAGCTTATACAAGTAGTAGGACCTTATAGGTATTATTGAGGGTGTTAATTTTGAATTATTAGGGAAAATAATTTGTGTTTCATGACAGAAGCTGCCCAGTGTACATAATAGCCAATTAGACTTTAAAGGTCTGGATTAGGTGAACTTTAATTGCCGTTCCCTCGTCATTCAATAGACTTATAAATGGTCTAGATGTATTAAACTTTTGAATTTACTCAATACCAAACTATTATAGCTGCTTACATGTGTGCTATGTGCTTCTATTATATATCCTCACGATTCTCTTTAAAGTATTATAAACCTCAAAAATCTAGTTTTCAATCGTACTGCTTAGTTTTAAATTTTGATATTTTACTGTTATTTGAATAGATGGAGGCAGGTAGGCATCTAGAAGCGTTCTCAATCCAGCTTGTGATTCTTGCAATATGGAAGCAGGCACTGCATATTTGTCATACACAGGCTGCCTCGGCTATGGATGGTAGTCCAAGTCAAGAGACTACTAGGTTGAGGAGCTCCAGCAAGAAACATGGTACTCCTGATACAGAAGAATGTCGTGATGTTAACGCGCTAGGGCTAGAGGATATGTCCTCTCAGATTGAGAGGGAATTTCTCCGGGAAGTTGAGCATGCTGAGGAACTTGCCAAGGTCATTGAGCCTGGTATGGGCTTGGTTATTTACTTATTTCTTAATTATACAGAAATGTTCCATTTTTCCTATCTGTTTTCTTATGTTGGTTTACAGTTAGTTATAGCCTATGAGATCACATGATTCCATCCACTGATTCTATTGTTATCTGCTTCTTTTCTAAGGCAGTTGCGCGTTTTCATTCTATAATTTTATGTTTTATAATGATTGCAGGAGGTACAGAGATGCCTGATGCAATGGAGACGATATTTCAGGCTGCCCTTGCTCTGGGAAGACATGGTGGTGTAAGTATTTTCTTTCCCCCTTCCATTTTAACTTGTATTTGTTTACTAATTGAACTTATTGGTGAGGTAATGTGCTACGCTTATAAAGTCTCATGTCATGGAAGAATTATCACGTGTTTTTGTTTCCTCGGGGGACAGGGGGCTTGCAAACTTATGCCCTTTTGACGTAACTGTCTCCTGGATTGAAGTATCTCTGAGGCTTACTGATTGATTATTTTCAAAATCATGCTTGTCTGCATCCAATTAACAAAATTTGTAGCATGCTGGAGACACAAATTAAAGGAATTTCCTCTTATAAGGATTACAAAACATGAAAAAACACTGAGCCAAAGTTGTTTCTAGATCTGTCATAAGTAATGAAAGACAAGATATATGAATTCCCCTATAAAATTTTGAAATATGGTGATAGTAAGATGTTGCTTGAAGTAAACTAGCTGTCCACTTTCACTTAAAAAGTTGTATGTCTTGGCAGGTAGATGAGCTCATGGGTGATATGGAAAGTGCAGCTTTGTTGTATTCAAAAGCAGTGCAATTGATAAGCTTCCTGCTAAAGGAAGCACCATCTCTCATACTCAACCCACCATTTTCTCTCACAAACTCAGACCGGTATAGGCTCCGGAATTACATTGATATCCTTAATAATCGGCAAGGTCACTCCAAGTCACAGAGGATGGCTCTTCTGAAGTGTGAGGATCAAGCATAAGCCAAAATGCTAACGCTTTTTTAGGATGACCAGCCCAATTTTAACTGTGTATAAAACATTTATTTGTACAGATATTCTTTTGAGTTGTGACTTGCAATTGGGTTGTTGACAAATGAGGGGCCAACCTGTATTCAAGTTGGATGATAGAATAGTCTCATTTCTGTGATTTAATGAATGATGAAATGTGAATTTGTTCTCCACTAGTGCACCATCTCTTGAAGCTAAATTATTACTTAAATCATTTTGTTGCCCGAATATCAAGTTTATTAGGCATAATGTCGTTTTATTTAATTCAGTTTTTGTTTTTACTCGTATCAACAGCTTTAGAATACCAGTTTATTAAGGGCGGCTATTATTCTCAATTGGGTTACGGGTGGGACACTGAAACTTGAGTGGGTTTAATGAGTTCTTTTTTACTATTGTAGCGTTTGGTTCGGGGTTATAAAAAATGACATTGATAATCTATATTTCAATCCGGTAATTATCACATTTAGGTGTCAAGTAACGAAAGATTTTGGTAATCGATTAATACTAATATTTGATTATTGTAGGTAAAATAGGAGGTAATTTGATTACCATCTGAAAAATGTGTTATTTTTTTATTATGAAAAATGTGTTATTTTTTTTATTATTGAGTAACTCGCAGTTCATACTAATTCTACCCTTAATTAATAAACATTTTTGACACATGCTCTTATATATCTATTAAATAACAATTAAATCAAATGTGCGAAATGACTTCTATAACTTTATATATTAATTTTTTGGACATAAATACTCTCTATTTACACAAATGATATCTAAAATATCCCCAACTATCTAAGACTACTGTTAGCCGTTGGCCACCAACGCCGACAGTCATCGAAACAGCACACGACCGGTTGGACCTAGCCAGCCATGCATGGATCTGACTGTTTTTGACCAGATTAAAGTGTGTTATTTTTTTATTATCGGATAATCCACAGTTCATACTAATTCTACCCTTAATTAATAAACATTTTGGACACATGCTCTTATATATCTATTAAATAACAATTAGGTCAAATGTGCGAAATGCCTTTTTTAACCTTACATATTAATTTTTTTGACATAAATACTCTCTATTTATATGAATAATACCCAAAATACCCCCAACCACCCAAGACTACTCTCAGCCGTTGGCCACCACCGTCGACAGTCATCAAAACAGCACACGACTGGTTGGATCTAGCCAATCATGCATGCATGGATCTGGTTGTTTCTGACCAGATCAAAGGCTAAAAACGATTAGAATGGATATGGTCGTTTCCTGCCAAATCGATGCACAGTCAGCCATATCTGACCGGTCATGCACCGTTCCAACAATTGTCGATGGTGGCTAGTGGTAATGGCCAGCACTCGCCAGTTACTTTGGATGGCTGAGAGTATTTTATTAAATTTTAAACTTTTGTTGTTGTGATGTTTTAACAAAATTCTCAAATATTAGGGGTTAAAAGTAATACTTTGAATAATAATAATATTAAAAAGAAAAGATAATTCAATAAAAATACCTCCAATAATATTTTATTTCTTTCAATCAAATATATTAATTATTTATACTAGACAATTTAACCAAACCAAACGTGTTAATATGATATTTTTCGTTAATCTTGATGGTTATCTAGCTCGTAATACTTTTCAATTTATCACTATCTTTTAAAAAGATAATAAAAAATTTCCTAACCCAGACGAGAAGTCCGCCGCCCGCCAACTAAAGTCTCAAATTTACACCGAAGAAAGAGACGTAGACAAGTGATACAAGTCCAGTCGTCTAATGTTGAAGGTTTGCTTTGAGACGCCTCCCCATTGGCTGGCTGGCCGTACCTCAAAAGTTCCCTAATTCTACACCTTCCAGTATCTCTCTTCTTGCAGCACGTGAGAAGTAGAAATCATGGTACTTGGTGTCTTATTCTTCTCAAGTTTCAGCCAATAACATCTGCTTTTATGCAAGTTAATTTCAAACACTATTTAATACTCTTTTTGTAAATCAAACTGATCTTTCCATCAAACTTTATTCAAGAAAGAGAGCCGCATAAAGCCTGTACTCCGTTCCTCCCATAACATCTTTTTCTGCAAGCATGGGGTTCCAATCCTTGCCATTTCCCAAATTTCCCACTTTTTTCATTGTTCTCTTTTCCTTACTCTTATCTTTCAATACTTCGAAAAGCCAAAACTTGTTGCGTAGAGGCTCTTCACTATCAGTTGAAGATGCTTCAGACGTGTTATCATCCCCAGACAAAACTTTCACCTGTGGGTTTTATGGCCTTGGTCAAAATGCTTATTGGTTTTCAATCTGGTTCACCAATTCTAAAGAAAGAAGTGTTGTTTGGATGGCTAACCGTGACAGACCAGTCAATGGGCATGGCTCAAAAGTTACTTTCCGGCGAAATGGTGCCATGGTACTAACCGATGTTGATGATTCGGTAATTTGGATGACTAACACTACCTCTACCAGTGCTTATAGAGCAGAGCTTTTGGATACTGGAAATCTTGTTTTAACGAATGCAGATGGTAAAATTCTATGGCAAAGCTTTGATTATCCTAGCGATACACTTCTTCCAAACCAACTTTTTACAAAGAGCACACAGCTGATTTCCAGATTAGGTAAAGGAAATTATGCTTCTGGGTATTTTATGTCTTATTTTGATAATGATAATGTATTGAGATTGATGTATGATGGACCCGATATTTCAAGTGTGTATTGGCCTAATCCTGATTATAATGTGTGGCAAAATGGAAGAACATCGTATAACAGTAGTAGAATAGCTTTTTTAGATGAAACAGGCAGTTTCTTATCAAGTGACAAGTGGCAATTTAGAGCTTTTGATGTGGGCTTTGGGATCAAAAGAAGGCTAACTATGGATTATGATGGGAATCTCAGGCTTTATAGCCTCAACAATTTGACAGGATCATGGATGATTTCATGGCAAGCTATTATGGAGCAATGTAAAGTTCATGGGATTTGTGGTAGAAATGGGATTTGTGTATCTACACCAGAGCCCAAGTGCTCATGCCCTCCAGGCTATGAGGTAACTGAACCGGATAATTGGAACAAAGGTTGTAAGCCTAAGTTCAACAGAACTTGTTCAAACTCACAGCAACTGAAATTTATCGAGGTTCAAAAAGTAGATTTCTATGGGTTTGATCTCCATTACAGTAAGGCTACATCAATGGAATCTTGCAAGAAATTATGCTTGGATGATTGCCAGTGTGAAGCATTTAGCTATAGGCTGAACGGGGAAGGGCTTTGTTACACAAAAAGTGCACTTTTCAATGGCTACCGTTCTCCAACATTTCCAGGCAGCATATATTTGAAGTTTCCAGTCAGTGTTGAGGCATCAGAACCCGATAGTCTCAATGGCAGCAATCCTGTATGTCAAGAATCTATAATTATGATGGGATCACCTTCCATGTATGACACTACTGGCAAGAGAGTGAGATGGATTTATATGTACTGGTTTGCATTAGCTATTGGTGCAATTGAAGTTATCTTCCTTCTATTAGGTTGGTGGCTCGTTTATAGAAGACATGGTGTGCCATCTTTAATAGAAGACGGATATCGTGCACTTTCAACTCAGTTCAAGGGATTCAGTTATGCTGAACTCAAGAAGGCAACGAAAAATTTCAAAGAAGAAATTGGTAGAGGAGGTTCCGGGGCTGTGTTTAAGGGTGTTTTGGGAGATGAAAGGATGGTGGCTGTCAAGAGACTAACAGATTTGTATCAAGGAGAAGAAGTGTTTTGGGCAGAAGTGAGTATAATTGGAACAATCTATCACATGAACCTAGTGAGAATGTGGGGGTACTGTTCAGAAGGCAGACATAGACTCTTAGTCTATGAGTATGTGGAAAATCAATCACTGGACAAGCACATATTCTCACCAGGTTTTCTGGGATGGAAAGAAAGGTTCAAAGTTGCCTTGGGGACAGCCAAGGGTTTAGCTTATCTTCACCACGAGTGCCTGGAATGGGTTATTCATTGTGACGTGAAGCCTGAAAATATTCTTTTGGACAGTGAATTTGAGCCCAAGATTGCAGATTTTGGGCTGGCTAAGTTGTCTCAAAGGGGCAGCTATGGTTCTGAATTCTCTCAGATTCGAGGAACGAAAGGTTACATGGCTCCAGAGTGGGCTCTAAATCATCCTATTACTGCCAAAGTTGATGTTTACAGTTTTGGAGTTGTGATTCTAGAGATGTTGAAAGGAATTAGGCTTTCAAATTGGGTGGTAGAGGATGGTGAGGAGCAGGAATCGAAGCTGACAAGATACACCAGATGCGTGAAAAGGAAAATTCAATGTGGAGAGAACACATGGATAGAGGACATGGTGGATCCAACATTGAATGGAAAGTTTAGTGAGAAACAGGTTGCAGCATTGGTTGAAATTGGTATATCCTGTGTGGAGGAAGATCGAAACAAGAGACCAACGATGGATTCAGTAGTCCGGACCCTGTTGGAATGTGAAACTGAATCTGAAGTCCCCAGTCCAGGCAATCACTAACTGCACTTCAGCTGTAAACATCTTCCCTTTTCTAGCTAGAGTATATTTTTGTGCTTTCATGATTAGGATACACAGTTTATCGTGTAAGATCAGCTTAAAGCATTTTCAGATGTAGCATATGAACAAAATAAAAGAATGCTTATATTCCAGAAAAGAACAATTTTGATTATGTTTGACAGTATTAGGTCATCAGAGAAAAGAGGAAAAAGAAATTATTATAAAATCAGAGGAAAAAGAAGAAAGAATTAAAATTGCTGGTTTTTTATTACTGGTAGCCACAAAAACAAAAACATAGAGGTTATTAATTTTAAAACTGATTGTTATCATATTATGCATTATTAAGTTGAACAAGTAAGATATTTTATCATATTTGATCAGATACTCATCACAAACCCTGATCTAATTGGATTCAGAAGCAAACTCGAATTAATCTTTTTAACTGTCTGCTGCTTGTAATATGAGTGTATTTGATTGGCAAGCAACATCATTTCTCAGTGAATGAGCAGATTTTCATTATACAAGTAGAGACTAAACAAGAAATTGACCATCCATAGCTGGAATCATCACCTCAAACAGCTCAACAAACACTGGCACAAAGAAAAATGAAAAATTATGTCTTTCAGATCACGGAAAAAATGTACTGTTCAATGTTCATGGCTTCATGCATTAAGATAAGGAGGTATGAATTATTAATAAGAATCCGGTAGTTATTAATATTCAAACATTTTTATTCTTATGCGAGGATGTGATTAATATGTAAAACATATTCATATTCCAATATTCATTTACAATACAATCAATTTCAGTTTAAAAAACTCCATGGAATATATGCGGAAATAAATGACAAACCTCCAGCCATAGCAATTACTTCTTTGATCTTCTTGCTCCTTTATGAATTACAGGATCTTCCACTTGACTGCAATTTTGGGTGATGGTTTTGGGAATAAAAAATGCATCGAATGGGGACCTGTAAACTTCTCTTTCTTATATGCAGTTGTCTTTCCATCAAAGACAACTGCCCAAGAGACACAACCGTATGACCACATCAACAGGGACCAAAATGTAATTAAGGAGAAGTGCAGGACCATATTGTAAAAGTCTAACATATAGTCCCTGACAAGTGACTCTAATTTTTGGTGATAAAAGATACCCCATTTGTGATTAAATTAAGTATATTGATACATTAAAGAATTTTGATTTAATGCCAATGAAAATCGCTTCCTAATATTTTTCTTATGAATTACCGTTTTGGACATGATTTTGAAAATATCTAAGTTTCTATTAGGTTGTGGTTGTATGGATTAGGGTAATTTTGTCTCATTTATGCTGTTTAGGGGGGTAAAATTGTCATATTTTAAGGGCTGATTTTTGTCACTTTTCAATTGTGTAGGGACTAAACTGAAATTTTGCAATTTCACTATAAAGAAAAGTGGCGATCGCGTGTAACAGGAAAGCTCTGCCATCCATAGAGTTTTTCCGACGACCCTTTTCGCTTCCACCTCCGGCGACTGGGGCGTGTGGCGGGGTCTTCTCTGTCGGCCTGGGGTCTCCTGGAGGTCACCAAATCATCGCTATTGGCAATCGCGCCAGCCGTGCCAACCACCACTCCGCGACGCTTCGTCTTCCATCGCGTCGTTTCGTATTTCCGGGGGCCATTTTTTTGGCCGTTTCCCCCGGTGACCTTTCTTTCCAGCTCCCCAAGGTTATATCTTCATTCCCCCATAGCCGGATATCCGCTGTCCAAGCTTCAGCACACCGCGAAAACCCGCCGGAATCCCGGTTTTTGCCTCGCGACTCTTTCCTCTTCCAGGCCGATCCTGCTCAATTTTCCGGCGACTTCTCACCTCCGCCTGGACCTGATTCGAACTCCCCATCACCAGAGCTTTCCATCGGTCCCTTTGTTCCCATTTCCTTCCGCCACCGGTTTTTCCTCCGGAGACCCCGCCGGAAAATTTACCGTTTTCCCGCGAACCGCGGCTGTTCGTATGCCGGGCTGTCCATTGGTGCGTTTTCGCCCCTTTTCGCACATACTCGCTGTCGGTTACCTCCTCTGCCTCCATGTCACAATCCGTTTCCAACCGTTTCGGCGCTCCTCATCACAACCATCATGAGCGCTAAGCTCCCGGTTGTCGTACGGCATAGCGATCGGGATTGACTCCACGACTCTCCTCATCAGCTCTCGACTTTTGGATTTCCCGATTAAGGACATTTGGGTCGTTTGTGCTTCGGATTATATTTGTTTTTCGTTTCATTATTGATTTGATACGTTATATGATTTGGGCATAATGTTTTGAGGCCTATTGTTGTCCCTTGTGATTTAGATGTTTTCAAGAAACTTGTTGCATGATCACCGGTGGTTTGGAATAATTAAATAGAATATGCTTACATTACTTCGCATCGTATTGTATTGAGTTGTTTGGATTTTATTTATTTCTACTAGGTTGCGTTTATTGTGAAGATTGGTTGGATTGGAATATTACGTGTTGAACAGATTGTATTGTTTATCGCGTACTCAACTAGTGGTATTTGCTTGTAGTCGTTTATGCGACGTTCATGATGTCTTTAACCAATCGAACTTGAGTGATCGGGTATACAGGATAAATATACCTGAGTGTCCGGAACCAGTTCATTGATTTCCCTTGCCTGTGAGGTTTAGGGATCCGTGAGGGTGAGGAACTTGGGTGCGTCCGGTCTCGTGTCGGACAAAACCGTAACGCAACATTTTATTATAAAGTTTTCATTAGTTTTATTGCACTATTTCATTATTTGCATTGTATTCTATTTAGTTTTCATTAATCCATTGCCATTTCATTTTCGCTACTTAATCCACAAGAAAATACATTAGGTGGTTAGTCCTTGCTCCCCTGGCTTTCGATCCTGGCTTAACCGCTAGCTACGGGTACTTGTTTAAGTTTTAGACTGTGACGATAGGTCTTTAACAAAATTGGCAGCCGTTGCCCGGTGAGCAACGTCTTTTGACTTTGTTTGTTTGGGTAGTTATAGTTTTTATTCTAGGTTAATTTAATCTTTGTTGTTTTTGTTGTTTTATTGGTGTTTATTTTCTTCTGTGATTATTTGTTTTGGGTGATTGTTTTAAATTTGTGTCCCGTTTAGTTTGTCTCTTTGCTTTTTAGTTAATTATTTTCTTTTTAGGTTGTTTCGTAATTTCATTTATCCTTTTGTTTCTATTTTTATTTTCATGTGGCATAGGTGTTTCCTTTGTGTTGTTTTTGTTTTGCAGGCACTTTGCAAATTGGGAAAAACGCTTCAAGCGTGTCCGTGAGCATTGAAGATACCTGCACGTCCCGATTGTAAATTCTCCGTTAACGTTTTGATTTTTGTCCTTATTAATAATCTGTTTAGGTTGCATTGATAAATTTATTTTGCTTAAACATTTGTTGTGGAAATTTCTTGCGTATAGTTTTCGTTAGATTTTTAGATTTTTTTTAGTTTGTTTCTGTGCTTAAATAAAATTTGTTTTCTTAGTTTGTCATTGAGTTTATTTTCTTTGACTTTGTTGCTATGCGTTGCTTGTTGGCCTTTTGTGTGTTTTTGGTGATGCATTGCAAACTAAAGGTCTTTTAACGAAGAGTTATTCCCTTTGAATCTTGAATTGAACGCTACATTGTAAAGATAGAAAACAAGCACGTAGGATTGCTGACCAGGATGAACCCCGCCATGTGCCCCTTAGCCAACATTTCGCGGGTACCCACCACCTACACGTCAGCCTCATGTATCCATATCCCCCATGTCCAGAACAATACAGGCCACTATGAGCCAAAACTAGTGTCTCCATTGTGCCAAATTATTCATGGGAATTTAAAATGGGGAGCCAAACAAACACTTAGATGATTTTTAGAGGTTTTGCTCCATAGTTAGACTTCACATGTTAAGAAGATGTCGTGCGCTTAATTTTTGTTCCCATTTTGCACTTAAGTATCGAGCCAAACAGTGGCATCAATTCTTGGTGCACAGGGTCCATTATCTCTTTGACCCCATGCAATGAAGGTTCCTAAAAAGTAGTATCCCATTGTTAAAACCAACAGCCTACGACGAGCCCATTACTAGTTTCGCGGTCACTTTGATGGCGAGGATTTATGAGAGTTTGGGGAAAAACGTTTGAAGAAATGCTTAGGAAGTGTCCCTCATGCATCCCTCGGTGGCAATGAGTCGAGTTTCTGACGGCCTCACAAGAGGCATAGGAATATGTATACCGCCTCTGTGGAGGAACTTTATGCACAGGACTAGAATGAGTTTATGGCAACTCTTCGAGACCTAAGTGAAAATTCAAGGCACCACATTTCTGCGTCTAGAATGCTATCCCTCCATGGCAGCCATCCAGAGGTGGCGTGATGAGGTGTCACGGTTCGATGAACATTATTTTCCAAGTTAAGGTGTTGGCCCACCGATTTGACCAGTTTGTATCTATACAGGGCACCCCGAAATCGAATCCTCTCAGAAGGTGAATCAGGAGTTTTGCATGCACATCCACTCTTGACGCATCCAGATTGAGAACCTGCCCCTGACCCGTTTGGGACACGTGCAGTTGTCACAAGGCTTCCAGACGAGCGATCCGTAATCGACCACAATACAATCCTGGTGTCGTACCCACCACTATTTTTCATGGAAGCCACAACACCCTCAGAATGTCCTATAACTGCCATACCGGAACACCTTCAAATCAGCAAGGCCATTATAGGGAGCACCTTCCATCCAACACCCATCACCAGGTTCTCACACTCCCGTTCATCAGCCTACTCCGGTGTCTGTTCTTTAGAATCAATGATGGCTCCCAATTGCTTCAAACCATGCAGACTAACACAGCTGAATGCTAGTTTCCAGGAATTTAAGAGCAGAATACCCAACTTCCATTCCCATTCCCATCTAGTAGTAAGCTAGAGACCCAGATTGGTCAATAGCCGCACAGTCAAAGGAGGGAACCAGGCCTTTGCCTATTCCGTCCTAGGGTAACCCTAGTGGGTTCTCAGCAGAGAGGTTTTTTTCCGAACAGCTAAGGCCTGATGACTCTTCGGAGCGGCCGAGAGCTATTTAGGCCTTTAGGAAGTAAATTCCAGGGGGTCATAG